ATTATTATTATTATTATTATTATTATTATTATTATTATTATTATTATATTGACATTTGGAGCTAGCTGCAACTGCACTGATTGAATCGTGATAAATTCTTTGCTTCCTTGGAACACGGTAGCTGCGCCTTGGTCATCGCTGGCTATTCACAACTCACCTTATCTTCTAAGAAAGCTGAGGTTCTAGAGCAAGGGTCTTCAAACTTGGCAGGTTTAAGACTTGTGGACTTCAACTCCCAGAATCCCTGAGCTAACTGTTGTGGTTCGCCGGCAGCCTGTGCAGACAGCAGCGGAATCGGACAGTGGGGAAGAACGGGGACCAGTCCGGGAGTCTGGAGAGGACTCGGACGAGAGTCCTGCATCTGATGCAGAGATGGGGCCAGGACCATCTGGGAGTGGGATGCTGCCTCTGGAGCCTTTGGAGTGCAGCAGCTAGGCAGAGGACTTAGGGGAGCCTGTTCCCAGTGCGTGTATGCACAGAGCTGCTAGAAGGCAAGATCAGCTGAAACAAAAGGGGACAACAAACTGTGGGGTCCTTGGTGCTCTCTGAGCTTGGTAGTTTTCTTGAAGAAGTTTCATTACCCAACTAGGTAACGTCATGAGTGCTAGAAGGGAAGTGGGGTTTGTGGAGAGGAGTTGAAGGAGAAGGTGGTAGAGAAGGGAAGAAGAAGGAAGATGAGAAGAAGAACTGTGGGGTCCTTGGTGCTCTCTGAGGTTGGTGGTTTCTGGCAGGCGTTTCATTAGCCAACTAGGTAGCATCATCAATATTAGTATTATCAGTATTAGAACGGAGTAGAGGAGGAGGAGGAGGAGGTGGAAGAGAAAGGAAGAGGAGAAGCAGCTGTGGAGTCCTTGTTGTTCTCTGAGCTTGGTGGTTTCCTTGCAGACGTTTCATTACCCAACTAGGTAACATTAGCAGCACACCGACATAACCTCAAGGACCTCATAGTTCCAACCCGAACTCCAAATATTCTATCTGTACAAGTACACCATTTATCGTTGTAAATTGAGGACTACCTGTAGCAGAGCTATTCCGGCTACAGCCTCATTATTTAAGAGCATCCATATTGGGTTTCCAAGAAGACTCATTCCTCAGTGCTGGAGGGACCTTCTCCCCTCAGACCACAAGAAAATTTGAGCTGGTCCTCTCCATTCAGCCCAACCTCACAGCAGGCCTCAAGAACATTCAAAAATTGACGCAGTGGCCCAGGAATGCCTAGGGAGATTCTCGGTCCTCCAGGTCATGGTTGTCCCAAAGGTGCTTTTTTCAGGAGGCCACTGGACTTTCTGGTTTTCCTTTGAAGACGTTTCGCTTCTCGTCCAAGAAAGTTTCTTCAGCTCTGACTGGATGGTGGGGAACGGAAGGATTGATATTCCTTGCAGTCAGAACTGGTCATTTGCTTCCTTTTTAGAGGGTCGTTCAGGCCCCTTGGAGGTTTATCTGTGTCCTCAGGGCCACCTGAGTGGTGAAAATGGGTGTGGAGCCTTCTGACTGGATGGTGGGGAATGGAAGGATTTATAC